ATTCATTGATAACTGGCAACGACTACCTGTACTGTCGCGACGGAGTACACTTGTCTCGTGAGGGGGTAAAGACGTTGTCTGCATCCCTGGAGCGTGAAATTGTCACTCCGAAGGGGGGGTTTCGCCAGTAGAGAGGGGTTGGGGAAAGTGGGAGTCAAAAAACAAGCAGGTCCTGGGAAGTAAAATTAGTTGCTCAGGACAAGGGGTAAAACAGGACCAGGGAAGAGTAGGTTTAAATGTATACTATACAAACAGTAGGGGCAGTTCAAAAGATATCGAAGTCTTTAAACTGCTAAGAGAACATATGGGCACGGGGGTGGAGGAGACTGCAGTGGGAGCGGGTAAACAAAGTGAAAGACTACAGGGAAGTAGTGTTAGGAATGATGACAAAACTAAATTAGACAGGGAGTTTAAAACTAAACGCGGTAAGGGGAGGACTCAGAACACGACTAACTTAAATGTATACTACGCAAACAGTAGAAGTATGAGAAACAAAATGGATGATATTAGGGCCTTGGTATGTACCGAAAAAATCGATATAATTGCATTCACTGAAACATGGATCAACCTAGACTCACATGAGTTACCTGTCGAATACCAAATTGCAGGTTACCAATTATTCCATACCGATAGGCGGAGTAGCAATCTATGTCAGGGATAATCTGAAGTGTGAAATAAATAAGGAAATAAAAACTGAGCGGAATACAGAAACAAAAGAGAAATACAATCCAAGGTGTATATATACAGAGGAGGGTGAGACCAGGTCCACAATGGTCAGGTATTAGGTGATGACCCTACTAATCTTTAAATAGCACACAACGGTTGGTGGTCAGGTCAGATGGTCAGGTGACCCGACCTTCTCACCTGGTTACAAATCTTCTTAATTACAAAATTGTCCAGCTTGTACATGCCGTTACTCAAATTCATGTTGAATGCTTCGGTATGTTTAATAAGACTAGATTCTATGATGTTCCTACTATCAATTGAATTACAGTGACCCCTCGTTTAACGAACACCTCGGTTAACGTAATTTCGATTAACGAACTGCCTTCCATAAGGATCTTCAATTCGGTTAACGAAAAAAAATTCACTTAACGAACTTCTTACGAACCGACCTCAACATGTTTTCGCTTGCACTGACCGGGCAACCAGCTTTAGTATCAGTCCGCCAATACATTAATCGGTTCTAGGGCTTAAATTTCTTACTATTTTTGTAAATATCAAGAAGTTTATACTATTCAATAATTTTAAAAGTTTAATATTCAATTTTTTAGTAATTTTAACAATTATTGAACATAATTGAAGGTAAAGTGACTAGTTTAATGCGCGGCATCCAGCCTCTTAACACAGCAAACAGGCGTCAGTCTCTCTCTGTTTTCACTGGAGGTAACATCTTGCTTGAGACTCTCTTCAACTAAACGCTTTTTTTCTGTGTTTCCAAGCAAATTATTGGTCATTTTGAAATATATTTTATATATTGACAATATATAATGCAGTGCAGTGTTGATTTAAAGAAAATAATCTTGAATTAAACCAGAGAGCTAAAATTTTATGGGTGAAATGGCACCATGGGGTGACTTCTCTTCCACCCCAATGCCTTCTCTTCTTCCTTCTCCTCCACCCCCATTCTAAATCCCATCATCATCATCATCATCCAGGAGCCTTCTACATACACACCTCAAAGTAAGTGAACTTTTCTACCATTTTTGTTGAATTTAGGAAATTTTCGGTGAGCTGGAACCAATTACCCAAAAACCCATTGAAACAATGGTTTCGGTTAACGAACGTTTCGGTTAACGAACGACCTTCTGGAACGGATTGAGTTCGTTAACCGAGGGGCCACTGTACAAGGTAATATTGAGGAGGCATTATCCCAGTCAATGCAATGCTTGTTATCCCTCAAATGAACAAACAGAGCATTGGATTCCTGGCCTGTCCTAACACTGTATTTGTGTTGTTTAATTCTAGTTGCAAGATCTTTACCTGTCTGGCCTAAGCAAAACATATTACATTCCTTGCAAGGAACTTTATAAATGCAACCAATTGTGTTGTTGGGGGAGTTTTTGATTAACATTTGTTCTACAAGCGCGGCGCATGACTGTATTGATATTTTACGTAAATTTAACGTCATTATACCATTTCTTATACAATTATTGATATTTTACGTAAATTTATCGTCAATATTCTAGTTCTTATACAATTATTGAAATTTTACGTAAATTTAATGTCCTTATTCTAGTTCTTAAACAATTATTGATATTTTATGTAAATATAATGTCATTATTCTAGTTATTATACAATTTATTTATATTTTATGTAAATATAATGTCATTATTCTAGTTATTATACAATTTATTTATATTTTATGTAAATTTAACGTCATTATTCTAGTTCTTATACAATTATTTATATTTTACGTAAATTTAACGTCATTATTCTAGTTCTTATACAATTATTTTTATTTTACGTAAATTTAACGTCATTATTCTAATTTTTAAACAATTATTGATATTTTACGTAAATTTAACGTCATTAATCTAGTTCTTAAACAATTATTGATATTTTAGGTAAATTTATCGTCATTATTCTAGTTCTAAACAATTATTGAAATTTTATGTAAATTTATCGTCATTATTCTAGTTCTTATACAATTACAGTGGTCCTCGGTTAACGAACACAATCCGTTCCAGCAGGTTCTTCGTTAACCGAAAAGTTGGTTAACCGAAACCATTATTTCAATGGGTTTTTGGGTAATTGGTTCCAGCTCACCGAAAATTGCCTAAATTCAACAAAAATGGTAGGAAAGTTCACTTACTTTGAGGTGTGTATGTAGAAGGCTCCTGGATGATGATGATGATGATGGGAATTAGAATGGGGGTGGAGAAGAAGGAAGAAGAGAAGGCATTGGGGTGGAAGAGAAGTCACCCCATGGCACCATTTCACCCATAAAATTTTAGTTCTTTTGGTGTAATTCAAGATTATTTTCTTTAAATCAACATTGCACTGCATTATATATTGTCAATATGTAAAATATATTTCAAAATGACCAATAATTTGCTTGGAAGCACAGAAAAAAAGTGTTTAGTTGAAGAGCGTCTCAAGCAAGATGTTACCTCCAGTGAAAACAGAGAGAGACTAACGCCTGTTTGCTGTGTTAAGAGGCTGGATGCCGCACATTAAACTAGTCACTTTACCTTCAATTATGTTCAATAATTGTTAGAATGACTAAAAAATTGAATATTAAACTTTTAAAATTATTGAATAGTATAATTTTCTTGATATTTACTAAAATAGTAAGGAATTTAAGCCCTAGAACCGATTAATGTATTGGCGGACTAATACTAAAGCTGGTTGACCGGCCAGTGCAAGCGAAAACATGTTGAGGTCGGTTTGTAAGAAATTCGTTAACCGAATTTTTGTTCGTTAACCAAATTTAAGAATCTTATGGGAGGCAGTTCATTGACCGAAATTTCGTTAACCGAGGCGTTCGTTAACCGAGGGACCACTGTATTGATATTTTATGTAAATTATGATTATTCTAGTTCTTAAACAATTAAGTATTGATATTTTACGTAAATTTATCGTCACTATTCTAGTTCTTATACAATTATTGATACAGTATTTACATAAATTTATTGTCATTATTCTAGTTCTTAAACAATTATATTGATATTTTACGTAAAATTATCGTCATTATTCTAGTTCTAATACAAATATTGATATTTTGCGTAAATTTATCGTCATTATTCTAGTTCTTATACAATTATTGATACAGTATTTACATAAATTTATTGTCATTATTCTAGTTCTTAAACAATTATATTGATATTTTACATAAATTTAACATCGTTATTCTAGTTTTTGAACAATTATTGATATTTTACGTAAATTTAACGTCCCTATTCTGGGGCGGAATCCTACCAATTTCTGGGCCAGAATCGTACCCTATTCTGGGACGGAATCCTACCGTCTTCTAGGGCGGAATCCTTCCGTCTTCTAGGGCGGAATCATAACCTCATTCTGGGGCGGACGCCTACCATTTCCGGGCCCAGAATCCTACAATCTTCTGGGACCAGAATCCAACCCTATTCTGGGACGGAATCCTACCGTCTTCTAGGGCTAGCGTGGGCCAGGATATTTTGGATATTTTAGGAAATTTTTGGAAAATATTGGGGATTATTTTTTTTTTTTTTTAATTTTTGTTTTTGACAATTTGTGGGAAATTTTTTGACAATTTTTTTTATTTATTTTTTAAAATTTTAGGATTTTTTTTGAAATTCTGGGGAAATATTTGAATTTTGTTTTAATTTTTTTTTTTTCCAATTTTTGAAAAATTGAAATTTTCTGAAAAAAAAGGAAAATTTTAGGGTTTTTTTTTTTTTTTTTGGAAAAAATTGGGGAAATTTGTTGATGAATATGATCCTATTTCTTTGTGTATGAACCTCTGTGGCAGTGAGAAGTGATACCACCCTCAGTGTCAAGACCTAACTGAATTACTCAGATTGGGCAAACTATACTCCAAGCTTTGTCAATAAATTTGTTAAACTACAAAAAAGGGGGGGAACTATCTTGGTACAGAAAAAGCAGCAAAACTTGTCTTTCTTTTTAAGGTGTTAGAATTTCAATTTTATAAATATTAAATGTCATGTTGTATCCCAAAGTGTTGTGAATTAACTGGTTTTGCTTTGTTTTTATATTTGCAACAATGAAGAAGCCTAGAGCTTAACTACAACCCCTATGTGTTTGAAGTAGAGGTATAGTACTGTACTACAATAAAATATGTAAGGTTAGCAAAGTGATGTTACTTATCTTAAACTTGTGTTGGATGTTTGTTAAAAAACTTATACAGGGGTATTGTAATTTCTGTTGTGATAAATGTGGAGGTTTGTTGTTTATTTGTGTAGGCTACTGTGATAAAGGCATAAAATACTGTCTAGCTGATTCATTTATTACAATACAGTATAAAAGGAATTGTTTAATTCAACATACAAAAAACAAACTGTGATTTAAATACTTTATTTAAATCAAACAACCCTGCAAAAATACCCTCAAATAATTAAACCTTCCAGATCTAATCTTGAAGTGACTTTTAACTTCCTGAGAAGTATTATATTTCACAAAATTTGGATAACAAATACAGGAATATCCTTTCCCTTACCCTGCCCGGCCATAAGACTAACTTGACATTGATGCCAATGCATAAAAACTTTCATTACTTTAACCACCACATGACTTCTAGCAGGGTTAAGGCAGCAGGGAAAATCATTCCAGTATTTATTTCTAGTTAGCTATAAAGTAATACCCTACTGGTGTCTTTAAATTTTGGCAAGGTTAGGGTATCACCACAAGTAGTGTTTACAGCCAATTTACTACCCAATGGTACATTTCAATAATAATAATAATAATAAAAAACAAAACAAAAAAACATTACCAAGAACTGATGGTTTTCACATACACAACATCATTTAGAGAGAAATGATTGGCTGTAAACCTAATGAAAGTTAATGTGGTTTTAATATTCCATTTTTATGTATTTTTGTATCATGTCACATTTTTGTCAAGCATTACAATTTTGTTCTAAATAAAATATAAAAAAAGTGTCATTTCCATAAAGAAGAGGTTAGTTAAGATAATTTATTAACTTGTTTACAGGGGTCTTTCTGCTGAATAAAATCATCTGGCGTTTGCCAAATCGATATTAAAAGTGGCATCCCAGTAGTGGAGACACTTTATACCCTTTGCGAGTGGCGAGTTTCTCTAAGCTGAATACAAATGTCTGGTATTAACCAAATAAAACATTAAAGGTGACATCTCCATAGTAAAGGGGTTAAGTAAAAAAATCGAAGAAACTACGAGTGCCCCAATTAATGAGACAAGACAAAAATAGATTAGCAGTCAATAATTCATATTACATTTTAATGTAGATTTCTAAAAAATATATTACTTCCCACTCCTGATATTAAAACTGTACATGATTATCCCCAAATTAAGTGTATTTATAACACCATATACATTATACTGACACATTTGTTTGTTCAGCACCAGTTGAAACATTCACAGGTGTGTTGGTGGTGGAGGAGGTAGGTGTGTTGTTTGATGAAGAGCTCTGAGCAAGGCGAAGGATCTCCTCACACACTCGTTTGTAGATCCAAGCATCCCCCTTCAGTCTCTTACGCCTGATGCCCACAACATCAAGCCGTGGCACGCGACACACCTCCAACTCAAAGCTTAGTTTAGCACCTCCTACGTCATCACGGACCTTGCCACGCAATGTATACCTGAAGGCAGAAATAGTAAGATGTATGAGAATACTTTAATTCACTCACCTTCACACTTGTTTCGAGGAGGGCAAAAGAGTATAATTATGGCAGAGAGAGACTGCAGAAATGATGGAGCCACACACATTATACAGTGACGTAATAGATTTTATTAGAATGGATTTAAATAAAATCCTCGTGGTTCCTTCTATTATAGCATTGGACACAGATTCTAATAAAGAGGGAAATTAAGTTTTTAAAATTATTTCTAATGTGTTCATTTGTTATTAATCACACACAAGTAGGCATCATGAGGAACCAGTGATGCTTAGTTTAGGTACTTACCCCTTCTGGTTACAGAGGATGCCCTTATTTTGGAGTGCCCGCCGGAGGTCATGCAGAACCTGGTCAGGATTTCTACTTCCTGTCGTGCTTACATTGTACAAGTTCTGAAACAAAACATGAACAACTTTCTCAGTCAGAGAATAAATAGATATGAATAAATAATGAACCTAAGACTCGACATAAAACTTTACATTAAATTTAAAGTGGCAATCTGTGGGATGGTTAACCTCTAAGGCAGCGATTTTCAACCAGTGTGCTGCGAAGCATCCGTAGGTGTGCCGCGGAACATTAGTTTGCCAGGGAACATCTGTAGGTGTGCCGCGAAGCATCCGTAGGTGCGCCGCGGAACATTAGTGTGCCGCAAAGCATCCGTAGGTGTGCCGCGGGAGTTTAAATAGCATTTGGATACGTTTTGACATTACTGGTACTTTTATGGAGCGCATTAAACTCCCTTTTTTCAATGATGCAATAAATAAACAAATGTGTTCATTAAAAGCTCATATGGCAGTTTTAAATTCTCTCCTTAATTCTGTAGTGTAGATCCGCCGATCATATCTATCCTCAAATACTGATGGTGTGCCTCGACCATTTTAGTGCCTGGCTAACTGCGCTGTGAGATGAAAAAGGTTGAAAATCACTGCTCTAAGGACTGTTAGATGTGGGCTATTGCAGGATGTTTAATACATCTCATCATATTCCTTTATACAGTATCACAACTTTCCTTCATAACTGTTTTCCCCCCATATTGTCATTGTCACAAATATAAGTTTTTCTTTACCAGACACGAATTTTACTCAAGGCTGCCAAATGTACATTCCAACAAACCTCTTTCCACTATGGTTTTTGTAGCATGGGTGATTTATATGGCTGCTCCCGATTGTTTGAAACAGCAGGAAACATCAACACGTGTGTTACTGAATAGAGAAGGCATGTGGGAGGACTGAAAGAGTTAAACAATGAAGCTAGAAAAGTATAATCTGACTTTCCAAGCCCTTTACCTACCTTGCTTTCTACAATCAATGGCCCAGAATCTGAATTCAGTTTTCTGCGAGGTGTAAGCATATTTCTCATCTTGTCTAAACGTTTTTCAATACTGCCAAAAACTTTTCTTGAAGATCGTGGGGTACGGTCCGGTGTCCAGCCCCAATCGTCATTATTCGGTATTAAATATCTGAAAAATAAAATATAAGTAAATAAACCCCTCCACCCTTGCAACTTATTTTGTATCATAGTCTATAACTTAATTTATTTTCTAACTTGTTACAGAACTCATATAAAACTATTAATACCAATATGATGTACAGTATATTATTCCTACATTTAGAATGTAATGCATGGTTAACTTAAATTATCATAAATGCTCCACTGAAAACAGATTGGGTTGTAGTTAGTGTTGCTGAGTAATACAGGTACTCCCCGACTTACGTCCACCTGCACTTACGACCTGCCTCAGTCGTACCAAAATGTGGTCGAATTATGTATTTTTTAGTCCCAAAGTGAGTACACAGACAAAATTTTCATCTGTAATTCACTTTAAAATGGCTGGCAAGCTTAAAAGTGAGTGTTTTGTGGTGTTGAGAAGAAAAAGAGACCCAAATTTTCAATTTTCTATGTGTTATTTAAGCATTTCTGACTTACGACCTGGATGTTGATCCCTAACCCCGTCCTAAGTCGGGGAGTACCTGTATAGTAGTACAGTGCAGTATACAGTAATCAATTCGTACCTAGATTTTAACGGTGTTGAAAATTCATTTAATCCACTGTCTACAGATCTGGATGGCGATAGCTTTCCAGGTACTGAGGAGAAAAAACAAAAACATTATTAAGTGTATATTGTAGAATTGACCTATCAAATTTTGTACATCGAATTAGAAATTGGAAAAAAAGATTGTGAAACCCTATTTTACATATCAAAACTGGACCAGGTGCCTCATGCATGGCTGATACTAAGTTTATGGGATTAAATCCTAGGAAATCCCAAAATATAATTGGCTGACAATTCCAAATATATTTATACCGACTACTGAACATAAGGGCATCATTGATAGCCTGCTACAATCTGCTGGTTTGTTGCTGTCCGATACCATCGATTATTTGTATTTTCTTAACATAATTATTGTTTGTCTTTGATAAATATATAACAATTCAACAACCTAACTTGAGATGTTCAGGTTCATGTATATAAAAAAAAAAAAAAAAAAAGCAAAGAAATTCCAAGGATGTCATATCACTGTTCATGTACTCCAACTTAACAAAATCTTCAAACTCACTGGTTTATCTGTGTACACACTGTACAGCATACTGTATTGTATTGTTTAGTCTTGCTAAAATACTGCCTGATGCCGTATTTTCCAGGAAAGTACACATGATATATACAGATGACTTATTGTAATGATAGTCATCATATAGTTTTGAGAGTAGCTACAGTATAAGTGGAATACAGTACAGTACTGTACATATAACTGGTACTGGCAGGACTTTCTCAGACCTGTTGAAGCATATGCGTATAAAAATGAGTAGAGCTGTGATTTGATTTAACATGCGTGTGTGAAATAAAGAGTGTAATACAGTAATTGAAACATCAAGGTTGTAAAAATAAGGAAATACAGTAGATATATTAAACAGTGAAGATGATGATAATAATAATATAAACAATGTTAGTTTTAAACAGAAAATGTTAACCACTTGAGGTAAAACTTTTCTTCTTTCACAGGAGTATGATAAATAAATGCTACAAATCAACACAAATGCCTCATCTTATAAAACATTAATCAGTCATATCACAGAACAGCAAGCAAATTTTTTTTAACCAGTGGAGTCCACCAATATCTTACAGGGTGTGGTCGGAGTGGCTTTCTTGCGAGATTTATGCCCTGGTGTTGGTATTCTAGGTTGGGCAAAATTCTCCTTCTCCTCATCACTGATAGATGGTGGACGTCGTTTTTTGGGTGATATTAGTGGTGTGATCAGTAGCTCTGGGTCGCTTTCCTTACATGGGGAAATTCGACCTGTACCAGTATGTAAAAAGTGGTAAATCGTCACTAATGTTTGCAGTTAGCTTAACAACCCAATTCAATTCTAAAATGAGACTTGAGCACAAAGTATTATACACAGCCAAAATACATCAAAGTTAATATCTCACCAACTACTTTGTTGACTATGTGGTCAGTGGGTGTAGCTTTACATATAGAGAGAAGATCTATATCATTGAGTCCACCCTCCAGTGATGTGTGTAGTCCTCGAGGAGAGTTGGCCAGGCTGTTGTATGTTGAGTCTGTGTGATTTGATGAGTTATGTTTTTCTTGATTTAATTGTTCTATTAGACATCGTGCTGGAGTTCTCTGTGACTGTAAATAATGATAAGATATTTGTACAGTACCCATCCAAAACACATCTTTTTCAACAGAATGAAAGAAAATGTGTCAGTGTGTGTGTGTGTGTGTGCTACTGAGTTTTGGAGTAAGCGCTGACTTTACACCTTGGCTGACCACCGATTAATTACCTGGTTGGTGTATTTCAGGAGGTGGGAAAGGGATGGACCCAGCAAAATTGCCGGTTAGGAATTTTGAGGCTACCAGTCTGTGTGGCTTGTAAGTGTACATCTGTAAATATTGGTGTCGAAAGCATTTAATAAAATGTGCGAGGGAAGAACTGTCAAAAACCAAAAAAGAATGTTTCCATTATTAAGTGTGATAGTTCCACTGTATTAATAGTGACAGACCCAATGTAACATTGTGGAAAATTCCCAGATCACTCGGCTTCATCTGTCCTAAATAACAGTACAATAGCTGTACCAAAAGTAAGGAAACACTCAATTAGAGGATACCATTATTGTACTTCATTACACAAAAAATTGTGAAACTATTGATATAAATTGCAAGCACAATAACATACCGGTATCTCCCCAAGAGGTGTTACTTTAGGGATGAGTCTTGGTGACTTTCCTTTCATCTTCTGTGAGACCAATAAGAAGTAAGTAGCCGTGAGATAATCATAAGACCAACGGCATACTGCTTGCCGCACGGCTACTCTAGACTTCCCCTGATGCACTGCAACCTCTGTGATCACATCTTCATCTACACCGTATGTCTAAATGCAAAAAAAAAAAGAGCATGTACAGTATGTGGATTCAAACTTATCATTCTAAGAACCCCTACTTAACTCTCAATTGCAAACATGTTAATAATTGTCAAGCTAAATTTATGTAGACACAGATAATGACATAGAGTACACTTGTACTGAAGCATCTCTTCAATAATTATATCTCAAAAACCATTACTGTATCCTGCCGTTATAATTTTTATCTACCCTACAACAGTACCCTCACCTAAGCAAATTTAAAGGAATTCAGAGAGTAATGAATGATGGTATACATAATTCAATAAAAAGGTTTAAACCAGCAGGCTCTGCACATGCATTGCCCCCAAAATAAAAGTTGATGACCTAAACATATATATATACAGTATATATATTTTTTTTGCTAAATTTAAAGATTTTGTAAAAAGTACATCACTTTGGATAAAGAACATTACAGTATACTTTACTTTCAATAGACAAATTACAAAACAGTCTCTTAACATTGTATAATGATATTAAGTACTGTACTACTTGACCAATTCTAGTTAATGCAACTCTGAAAACTACAGGTGAGTTTACAATCATCTAATCCTAAATTCAACATCAGTTAGCTCACATTACTATGGCATAAAATGAAATATGGCAAAAATATTGATCACAATCAACAAAAATATTTAATTTTGGATCAGAGCAAGAGAGATACAGGAGATATGAACATCACACAAATAAGCCTATAAACTGGCGAAACCTACTTTGCATCTAGCCATCTATCTACACGAGCCTTAATTTCCTTGAAACATGTCACCTCACACATGCTCCTCCCTAAACACTTCATGCACCCTAAAATACAGCATTATACAGGGTGATTCAGCAAAGAGTACATTAAATTGGAGGATGAAATCCTTGGATAATTCTAAACCACAATGACTCGATGGTAAAATGTCAGATTTTGCACATGCCCACGTGTTCATGACAGGTGCGAGCAAATTAAACATAGTCCAGGCAATCAGGAACGTGTCAGACAATCAATGGTACGATGTGTACAGGCCTGCATCGAGGCAAAAGGGCACAACTTTGAACATTTCCTTTAGGTTGTAACAAAGAGGGGTCACACTGTAGAGGTATGTGAATAAATTATTACAAAAACCTACAGGGGTGTCACTTCAAATTCACTCTCATTAATATAACATCTTAAATGTATTGTAACATGGAAACTATGCAGAATCTGACATTTTACCATAGACATTGTGATTTAGAATTATCCAAGGATTTCATCCTCCAATTTAATGTACCCTTTGCTGAATCACCCTGTATAATTTTACTGTAACACTTCAAATACCTCTAAAAAATTCTACATAGCAATTTGGCTGCCAAGTGCAGTAATCACTACTTACTTGTATCACAAAAGAGGAATATGTGTATAGCAGAGTAGTTGTCTCAGTAAACATACACATGCAGAAAATTAAGGTTGCACACAGAAAGGCAAAGTCACAGGAAGGCAATCAAAACAGAAAATAGTTCAGTAATGCATACAAGGATAGTGATGAGGTTGAGAACATGTGAAAGACCAACATGTAGTACTACAGTGTGAATATGGCCAGCAAAAGCAAGCATAATGGCACATAACAATTTTAAGAATAGAAGTAACACAGGGTGTCCACTAGCCAGACAAAACAAAAATCCCTGGCTTTTCCAGGTGTAAATTTGAAAAATTCCAGCTACATTAATTTGGTATTTATTACGAAAGAATAACAAAATTAGAGGTTTTCAATAATATGCATATACTATTGAGAAATTTAAAGATGATAATCAAGAAATTTCAGACCCTTTCGCGACCCACACCAAGCCTAATAATAACATTGGCAAATTCCTTGACACTCCCCCCTCCATATTTTTCTCCTCGGATTTGTGTGATTTATGTGGGTTGACCTAGACGTTCCATACGTCGGAAATCCGGCAAAAACAGAACAATCGCACTCCAGATACGCCTATATGACTCATAATTAATATGTGAAATAATCCACTTTAATAAAGTCACTTAATCATAAGAACGATTCATCTCTTAACAATACTCACAGCAGAATTAGTAGGTATACCTCTAATACTTGGTTATTTGATCACTAACATGAAATATGATAGTTACACAAACAATTGTTATTGTAATGGACTATTTACTGAAATTTTTTCATAAAAGTGTAATTACTTTGCTATTATACAGTACATCATTAATTTATGGTTCAATTGCTATCAAAATAACAATAGTTTGAAGTTGAATTGAAGTCACACAAAATTTCAGGTTTATTTGTAAAATTCCCTGGCTTTTCCAGTCCCAAATAAAATACCCTGCTTTTTCCAGGTTTTCCATATCAGTAGACACCCTGTAACATGAAGAATCAGAAGAGTTATTTATCACAGGAAATTCTTGTGGTGAGGAATATTTGTTGCTCATCTAAATTTGTTTCAAATGGTAATAAAAGTAAGGGAGGAGTCTTAATGGTATTGAAAATGAAAAATAAAAAGCTCTAGAATTGATGAAATACAGTGGACCCTCGGTTAATGAACACAATTCGTTCCACAGAGTCGTTCATTAACCGAATCCATTATTTCAATGGAATATTGGGTAAATTACATACAAAGTATAGCCTAAAATGCATAAAGTCAGAAACACTCCTAAAATTCCCCTAAATCACTATAGTATATACTGTATACGTATATATACACACTAGAACTCTTAAATCACAATTGCAATGTGATACAGGTGATTAATTTTTATCTCTTGTGCAAAATATATGACGTTTATAGTCAAATTATTCACTGTCTTGCAAGGATTCCAGCAATGCAAATTATATTCTCCTAAATTTAGTCTGTGATATTATATAAGATAAAAACTGTAAGCCTAAAATCCTGGCTGGGAAGATGGGGAGGTGAGGTGATATGTTTGACAGTTGGCGCCGAAGGTCTAATGTTTGTTTATTTATCAGTCCTTAAGAGTGACTAAGCTTTTCTCATAAAATGCCACTGAAATGACCTGGGAGAATATAATTGACATTGCTGGGATTCTTGTTATAGTGATTAATTTGAATATAAACAAGCTATAATTTACACTAGACAGTACAGGTTTGCACTTAGGTCATTTATTTCTGTTAATTTCTTTTAGTATGGTGTGTGCATGTAAATGAATAAAAGTAATGAAGAAATTTATGTAAATCTACCCAAAAATACAGTTTAAAATGTAGTAAAGTAATGTACTAAATTTTTTTTTTATCTTATGCAAAATATATGACGTTTATAATAAAATTATTCACTGTCTTGCAAGGATTCCAGCAATGCAAATTATATTCTAACTTTAGTCTGTGATATTATATAAGATCAGACTTAAAGCCTACTGTATAACCATCAAACCCTGGCTGGGGAAGTGACAGTGACATGTTTGACAGTATATATTTGTTCATTTATGTCCTTTAGATTGAGTTTTAGTTTTTTATTTATAAAATGCCATAGAAGTGACTGGGGAGAATATAATTTACATTGCTGGAATTCTTATAAGATAGTGATTAATTTGAATGTAAACATGCTATAGTTTATACACCCAGACAAAAATTTTAGTAATCATTTTGTACATTATTTTGATTATACGTACAGTACAGCTTTGCCCTTAGGACAGTGTGTGCATGTAAATGAGTTTCAATAAATGAATAAAGTTACATATATCAAGCCAAAAATATTAGTTGAAAAACTTCATGTAGACAGAGCTTGGATGGCTAAATTTTAGAATGACCAATAATTTTGATATACAAAAATGCAAAAGTATTCAAGAGCACAACCTTCTTGATATTTACTCCACTGGAAACGAATGTAAACATAGAACAGATTACTGTATTGGCAGACTAGCAAATCAGCTGATGCTCACAACAAAACGTGTTTATCATTAGGATTTCGTCAATCAAACTTTTGTTCGTTAACCGAATTGAAGACCCTTATGGGAGCTAATTCGTTAACCGAAATTTCGTTAATCGTACCGTTCATTAACCGAGGGACCACTGTACGGTTAACCAAGGGACCACTGTACAGTGGTCCCTCGGTTAACAAAATTTTGGTTAACGAATTACCTTCCATAAGAATCTTCAATTCGGTTAACAATATTCATACGAAAACATGTCAACATGTTTTGGCTTGCTCACCAGCTGGAAGATTAGTCCACCAATACAGTAATCGGTTCTAGGGCTTATATTCGTTTCCATTGGAGTAAATATCAAGAAGGTTGTGTTATTCAATATTTTTCCAAGTTTTATATTAAAATTATTAGTCATTTTAACACTTATTTAACATAATTGCAGTTCAGGGAACTAGTTTTTGGTGCACCCATCAACCACTTCACTCACCCACCAAGGCGTCAGTTTGTCTCTCTGTTCAGTGGAGGAAACATCTTGCTTGTGGGTCTCTTGAACACAGAGCATTTTTACCTTTTTACAATAAAATTATTGGTCATTCTGAAATTTATTTAACATATTGACAATATATAGTGCAGTGCAGTGTTGATTTAAAGAAAATAATCTTGAATTACACCTAGTGAACTTAAAATTTTATTGGTGAAATGACAGCATCAAGCATGGGGTGATTTCTCTTCCATCTCCACTTCCTTCTCTTCTCCCTTCTCCTCCACCCCCACTTCTAATTCCCATCATCATCATCAACCAGAAGCCTTCTACATACACACCTCAAAGTAAGTGTACTTTACTGCATTTTTTTTACTTTGTATGTATTTTTCGGTGAGCTGGAACCAATTATCCAATATCCCATTGAAACAATGGATTCGGTTAACAAAATTTTCGGTTAACGAACGACCTTCTGGAACGAATTGTGTTCGTTAACCGAGGGACCACTGTATATGGTTAAGTGAACAATAGAAAAATATTTGTGTAATAGGAGGGTTGAGACTTGGGGGAAACACTGAAAAAAAAAAAAAAAATGATTTACACACATGACTTTAGAACAATTACTGACATTAAGTATAGGAAGAGGCACAATTACCTTGATTAATAATAAATTTCTAATCATAACAAGTCAGAAAGGTGATAGCTGGGAAAGGTAAAAGCAGCAGTTATGAGTTAAAATAATTATCATTAATACAGTACAATCACCATAGTTAGACAATACAAAAAGATTTTTGTATAAGCCACTCATGCACTAAACTCAATAACAAAATGTAGATATGAACTCATAGTATTATAAAAGCACTAAAAATAAAAAAATAAAAAATCTACATCAGAAAGACTATCCACCACCACAAATGTGGGAATGCTGCTGGAAAACTAACTATAGATGACAATGAAGGCAACCTAACATATCTCTCACCTCTGGATCCTGATGAAGGGCAGTGAAGGTGGGAAAATGGGAATATAATTAGTATAACATTTTCTGGTATCATTTAGTTCAGTGGTTCTCAACATGTTTTTCACTACAACTCCCAACATAATTCTTGAGGGTGTTGACCCAAATCGTGTATTTATTCAAATCCTCTAATGATAAAGACTTAATAAAGCGGGACAGTAAAACCTCCATAATTTGGAATAATGGGCTCTTTGCAAAAATAAATTACATATCAAATTATCATCCATTATGCACCCCTCTGTTGACACATGATTTACTGTAGTTGTATATTCATTAATTGCTCTTGTATACAGTAAAGGGGGTCTTAATTACACTGTACATTGGGACCATTAACATGGAAAAAGAGCAGGTGGTGCTCATCTCACGTCTGTAACTGTACTGTACAGCTACTCCTCGACTTACGACCTACTCGACATACGACCACCGCAGTTGGTACCAAATTTTTTTTTAAAATGATGCGCATATTTTCTAGGACCGAAACGTTTCCGTTCCGTACGTGAGTGTCGGTGGGCTGGGTCGCCTCATGGCTACAGCATCCACGCAGTATAGCGCTCAGTTGGTGTTTGGCTGTCGTTGTTGTCGGAAGTGATCGCGCTGTGTACTGACAATATTTTCGTTTCTAATTCACTTTAGAATGACTGGCAAGCGTAGAAGTGAGAGTGCTGGTGGTGCTCAGAAGAAAAGGAGACGGTCAATTACTTTTGAGACGAAAATGAAGATAATAATGCAATATGAAAATGGAAAACGGCAGCAACCATTTCACGCGACCTAGGCTTCTCTCACTCGACGATATCGACAATTTTGAAGGACAAGGAACGAATTCGTGAGGAAGTGAAAGGATCAGCACCTATAAATGGAAAAATAATAAAGAAAAAAAGACAAGGTCCTATTCATAGGATGGAAAAATTACTTGTGATATGGATGGAAGATCAGACACAAAAGAGTGTACCCTTATGCCTTCTAACCCTACAGGCTAAGACAAGAAGCCTTTTCGAAAGCCTGAAGGAGCAGGCAGGAGATGAGTGCAACCAAAACTTCACAGCAAGTCATGGGTGGTTCCAAAGGTTAAGAACCGTTACAGTTTGCATAGTGTAAAGGTGAGTGGAGAGGTAGCAAGTGCTGATGTGGGTGCTGCCGAAGCTTTTAAGGAGGAGCTAGATCGTGTCATCGTGGAGGGAAATTATTTGCCTGAGCAAATATTTAATGTGGATGAAACTGGCTTATTCTGGAAGTGCATGCCAGAACGGACATACATCCACAAAGAGGAGAAAACCATGCCGGGATTCAAGGCACAGGTCACTGACCCACATTGGGGCCTGGGGGCTAAAATATTATAATAATAATAATAATAATAATAATAATAATAATAATAATAATTCATAGGTCTAAGTCGTGTTTCTCACTTTTGATCTTTTTTTCATTCTTGTATTTCTTTATTATTATTATTATTATTATTATTATTATTATTATTATTTTATTATTACAGTATTATTGCTATTATTATTATTGTTATCATTCTCATTTTATTTTTGTGTATTTTTTATTAAAATTTGTATTTACTATGAATAATTATTATTATTACTGTATTATCATTATTACTATTACATTTTCACTCCCCAGGCCCCGATGTTGGTCAGTGACCTGTGCCCGGGTGGGCTGTTAAAAAAAAAAAAAAAAAAAAATGATCCACAAAAAACTTTCGGTTTTCAGAGCTTTTCGGTTTTTGGAATTTCGGATAAAGGGTTGTCAACCTGTACTGTATTATTTTTTGCATTTTCGACTTACGACCTGGATTTAGGTCCCTAACCCTGTCGTAAGTCGGGGAAAGACTGTACAGGTACTCCCCGACTTACAATGGGGTTAGGGACCGACATCCAGGTCGTAAGTCGAAATGGTCGTAAGTCGGAAATGCTTAAATAACATAGAAAATCGAAAATTTGGGTCTCCTTTTCTTCTCAACACCACAAAATACTCACTTTTAAGCTTGCCAGCCATTTTAAGGTGAATTACAGATGAAAATTTTGTCTGTGTACTCACTTTGGGACTCAAAAATACATAATTTGACCACATTTTGATACGACTGAGGCGGTCGTAAGTGCGGGTGGACGTAAGTCGGGGAGTACCTGTACTTCCAAATTGCGGTGTGAAAAAACACGCTAAGCATTCTAGAATTTTTCATATGGCAATGGAGTACAGTATACTTTAGACAAGCTGGTTTAAATGCTTACACTCCTTTACAAATAACATACATACATACACACACACACACATTCATTCTCTCATGCATACTCGCTAACTCACTCACACACACTCACATACATTGTTCTTTAGTACTGTATTATTTTTATGTCAATGTAGTTATTTCATTGTTTTACAGGCAATGACCATTATACAATGGATCAATATAAGCTCAATTAGTTTTACGACTTTAAAGAATTAACACCATTTGCCACTATGCGATGGCTAAAGCTCAGTTTTACGATGGTCGCTAACTGAATTCTTTTCTTGCAGTGTCACTGCTAGGAAAAAGTGATGTTCAATAACCCGCTATATTCCGAGATATGATGACGCAATCTTGGAATGGAGTTAAAATTCAATGTGATTTACTAATTCTCACATTTTTCTTACCTGATACTTAAAACCCTATTGGTGTCACGAACTGTGTTGAGAACCACTGGTCTACTTCAATTAAAATTCTTAAAAACATTGTGCAATAAATGTACCGTATTTTTTGGCTTGGAAGACGCACCCTGGTTTTGGAAATGAAATTCTATTTTTTTTTTTTTTACATGGGTATTAACCCACCTGGGCACAGGTCACTGACCCACATCGGGGCCGAGGGGGCAAAAATGTAATAATAATAATAATAGTAAAGAACCATAAAGAAATACAAAAATGAAAAACAAAATCAAGAGTGAGAAACAATATATGTATGTTATGTTGTCAAAGTAAGAGAAACAATTGAGATCCTGCAATTGTGTGTAAATGAGGGAGAAAGTCAGATTAGGAACCTGGGACTTGGTCACAATTTTTGTGATGCCATGTGGCAGCAGGGTCTACCATTATCTTCCCAGGCAGTAGTACCTCCCTGTTTGGTAGCTGCTTACTACCGACACCAGTGAAACCGTTGCCTGATAATTATACAGCCCTTTTGGCACAAGTACACACACCTCTTTGAATATCATCACTTAGAACTGCTTATCAGTCGTCATTTTCATCAATTTAAAAAAAACCTGTATAAGAAGGTGAAATCTTTAATACAGCGCTCATTTTATACACCTGGTCACCTCCGACGGGAAATATTTTCCAGCGGTAGAAGGTAAGCAAATGTAAACATATATATCAACGTCTAAATAAACAAAAAATCTTTATTTAAAAAAAAAAAAAAAAAAAACTCTGTTTGCAAAACCAGTGACTGATAGGTTCTACATAATTATAAAACTGAAGAAACTAAGACCCTGGTTGTAGCTGTAGTAAAATTAATGTAGAAAAATTAATATGGTTGTTGTAAGTAATGTTATCTAATGTTAATAAATGGAACAATAGGAGTAGCTAACCATTAATGATAAAGAAAAAAGTGAGGCTGCGCGTAGCTAAGTGTGCACATGTAAGAACATTTCGTCTTTACTCTACATAAGAATATGAAAGCAACACTTATTTACTGTTCATATATGTTTTAATTAATGTTTCTGAATTTATATTTGATTGAATTATTGTTTATGTGTGCAAAATGAACAATACAATTCATTAATACATAGAATATTAAAACACACGAGGAGACGAGACGGCATTGTTTTTGTTGTTTACAAAACCAGTGACTCATTGGTTCTACATATAAAACTGAAGAAAATAAGACCCCAGTTGTAGCTGTAGTAAAATTAATGTAAACAAATTAATATGGTTGTTTTAAGTAATGTTATTTAACGTCAATAAATGGAACAATAGAAGTAGCTAACGATAATGGTAAACAAAAAAGTGAGACTGCACATATGTAAGTGCGCACATGTGAAAACATATCGTCATTACGCTACATAAGAATATGAAAGCAACACTTATTTACTGTTCATATATATCTTAATTAATGTTTCTGAATTTAAAAAAAAATTCTACCCACCAGTGGTGATAAAGTTGAAAACATAAGGACAGCCAATGTTGTTGTGTGTGTGTGTTTTTACTTGGATGACGAGGTTGTATTTAAATTTGGAAGATTTAATTTTGTGGGGTTTTTACAGTCTAAATGGGTATCCAAATATGAGAGCCTACTGTAAATGGGTGTCCAAATATGTGAGCCTACTGTAAATAGGTGTCCAAATATGAGAGCCTACGTATAAAGAAACAAACATTCCTGCGCTTTGAGACAAGCAAACGAGCTTTAGCAATTCCTCAATAGATGGCGCTGCCACACCACTGCCATTAGTAAACAAATCACACAGCAGCAAGGGTTATTGTTAATTTTTTTGCAATATATCAACAATATTAGTTAAATCAATAGTTTTATAGTACTGTATAGAGAATACTTGTAATTGTTAATTACTGTAGTGAGGTAACAGTCTTTGTAAGGGGCTGATTTCAGTTGACCCTAAGAAAACCTCTACTACAACTATCAACTCGCGTCCTGGAAGATGCATGGTAATTTTCAAGGTATACTCTTGTCATAAAAAGTGCGTCTATTAAGCCGAAAAATACGGTATGTTTATCTTACATAAGTAAAGAGGCAGTTCATAGGTTAAAGGATTAAGAAAGTAATTTTAGCTGACACTATACTAAGTGAATTATGGTTGGCTAGAAAGGAGCATGAATCCATATTACAAGTTAACAAATGCAATATTCCTTCACTTGTATCAATATAATTTTAAATTTTGTTTATAAATCAATCAAGATTACAAGCTACAGGATTCTTATTTGTTAAACAGCATTTTTTCACCATTTAAATTTCCAAATACATACCCAGTAATTCTTTACAATTATCTGCCTATAAAGAACAACAAATATATGACCTGAAGGAAATAAGTAAAATTTCTGTGACAAAAATTTTACATGATTTGCAGATGTGAATTATTGAAATATACAGAAGTCAATACTTATGGAAAACCATGGACATTCCAATAATTTTCAGGTCTGGTTAGATGTGGACATAAATACAGGCTGTATACCTTATATTTAGACGTAGCATCCACAGCTTGTGACTGGCCAGCAACAAGCCAAGGATGAGCCAGGAGTTGTGTTACTCTGATCCTTCTCTTAGGATCTACTTGTAACATTGATGATAGCAGGTCACGGCTTCCTGGACTTAACCACTCGGGATTTTCATAAACACCTGCCTGTAGACAAAAGATATTTTGGTTCAATATCAACCAACCAGAAAATACATCCAATTACTGTACAAATCTATACTGTTTAATAATTAAATCTGACCATTTTGTTCATCCCAGACAGGTGTATGTGCAGCCCCACTAACAGTGTCATGTGCATTCAAATTAGTTATTATTCCTGAGTAACTTTTGTTTGAATATATTATCTGAAGTACCTCCAGTCCAGCATAATTGACTTTTTAATTACTTTAATTATCTTTAATTATTTCAAAGGTCTTTAACTAACACAAATTACTCAAATTTTTAAATTGTGAACCCAGATCCTTAATCAGCAAGTAAAGTAGTACCTTTGAATGAAATTTGTTCAAAATCCCTAAGTCTTAAGCTTGTCATACACTAATTAGTCACTGACGTAATTTACGTCATGTTAAGCTACAGTTCTGTAGGCTTTGCTAAGAGCTCCTATGGGTCCAGAATTGTAGGATAACTCATTTTATATGACATGACAACTTAGGGCTATAAATAAATGTGTGGAGGTTGCAAAAACAGACATGGCAGGGTGCGTGTGTGATGAAGGGAGGAGTGTCATGTTCCTGCCTTCCACACTGCGGTTTCCATATCTTTCCGTGAAAACTTTCTGGACTCTATCTGACATGCAACTTTGTGGTTCCACTGTACATAATGTATATATAGAACTAATTTTATAGTTGTATTGATAAGTAAATAACTTAAGGAATTAGAATTGATAGCAGAGATGCTGGTACCTCTGACTGACCTTGCAGGCCTGGCAATGCTCAACTGCCCAGGACCTTTAAACCATGCAAGAAGCTTATAGGTATACTTTTCACTGTTACCACATGACTTTCCGAGTCCTTTATAGTTGTTTTAGTCAACAAAAAGAATGTGAAAATCTTTGATGACTTGGGCACGACTAAGTTAAATTAATTTGACCATCTATGAGTTAAAACAAAAACAAAACAAAAAATAAAACTAGTGGGTTTGGAAAAAAAAAAAAAAAAGTTTTTGCTAACCGTTTCCAGAACTTTCAAATTTTCTGATGAATTTAATTTGATGCCCTCTTTTTATTATTACAGTATTGTTATCAGTAGCCTCTTTGGCAAGAAATTATTCATAAAACTCTTCTACACAAGCCAGTAAAAAAAAACACTTGGACACACCCTAGTAACTGGACACAGACTAACATTAACTGTTTCATCTAACAAGTTAGATCTTATTGACTCATAAGGGAACATTTGTTGTAACAACAACTGAATCAAAATCTCATCATTAACATTTTCCAGCTATTTTACATGCTTGCATGGGTTAGCCGAGGTTAATTGACGGCAGTTGTCGAGTACAGTACACAAGAACAGGATGTACACTTCTGTTTACCACCACAAGCCAAGGGGGCCAACCCAGAAAACATGGCAAAGACCAAGGGATGAGCATGGCTCTGGTGACCCAGTTGCCAGCAGGCATGTTGATGCAAAGTTTTACAGCTGGATGTCCTTCCTAACACCAACCCACAGAGTGGGAGCAGTTGGCAAGACAGGGTCGTAACTCCCTGAGGTAATCAGACTACCCACCTTATTCTACTGGTAATACAGTACAGGTAACTCGCATTTTCCGCGCATTTGATTTAAGCGTTTTTGGAATAACGCGATTGTTCAATTAATACCAAAAGCTAATTTACGCGCACCTATTTTTTACATGTCGTGCGCAAGACAGTTTAAATTTGCCGCGCGTATTCGCCTGGCAGTGGAGTCGCGTGTGATGCCTGGTGAGGTGTTTGTAAGTTATAACTAAAACCAAACCCACTAGACTAACTGCCACCTCTGCCACTGTGATAAATCATATGTGGACTAACAACACTCTTAAAAATCTTGCAAGTGGAATTATTTATAACAATATCTCAGATCACTTCCCAGTTTTTGCCATGTATAAAACCACAAGACCTGAAAAGTCAAGTAGAGTCTCAATACAATATAGAGACTACTGCACCGACAACATGCTCCTTTTTTAAAACAACCTAATGAATGCTAACTGCGATCTTGTCTATGCCTCTGACAACCCTAACGTGAACAGCTGCAATTTCTCTTGCATCTTCAATGTTTACTTTGATAAATGCTTCTTGCTCAAGACTAAGTCAGTGAAAACTGTATCCATTTCCAAACCTTATATCACAAGCGAAATTAAGATGATAAAAGAAAAACACAAACTCCAAAGGAATTTTGCAAAAAGACCCATAACTTTCAGTGATGCTTACTGAAATATCAGAAATAGAGTAACTCATTAGAAATGCCAGACGTAGCTATTATACAATTAAACTCCAGTTAGCATCAGGAAACAGAAAGAAAACCTGGAATGTCATAAATTCTATTCAGAACAGGAACACTCAGCTTTTATGATAAATGATTCAGTTGTAACGGAACCCTCCCTCATTGCTAACCACTTCAAGAATATTTTATTAATGATGGCAAAAATCTTGCAGAGAGCATCCCTGATCACCATGAGCAATTTAGAGCCTACCTGCAAAACAGACAGCAAAATGAGCTGCTCTTATCCCGTCTCAGCAGATAAATTACTGGCCATCATAAAAATTTCCAAAGATGCAGCAGCAGGGGAAGACAATATACCAACGAGCATCATTAAGAAAGTAGCCCACTTATCACTACCTGTTCTCCTACACATCTGTAACTCCTCCTTCACTAGTGGTGTCTTTCCGGATAAACTGAAAATTGCTAAAGTTCACCCAGCATATGAAAAATCAGGGGACAAAGGTCTCTTCAAGAATTACTGCCCCATATGAGTCCTCCCAGCCTTGAGTAAGATACTGGAGAAGCTAGCATGTAGTAGACTAAATTCCTTCTGCAATGCCAATAACTTCTTTACAGACTCCCAGTTTGGATTTAGAGCAAGAAGGTCGACTGAAAGTGCTCTGCTATCCTTTAGTAACGACATCTTAAATTCCTTTGATGACAGTCAGTTCACAGTCGGAATATTCTTGGACCTCTCTAACGCCTTCGATACTGTCGACCATACCATCCTCCTTTCAAAGCTTGAACATTACGGCATTAGGGGCCTATCCCACAATTGGTTTACCTCATATCTGTCCAACAGGATGCAGTATGTCTGCTATAATAATCACCAATTTGACTCCTCGCCAATCTTGTATGGTGTCCCCCAAGGTTCCATTCTCAGTCCAGTACTGCTTTTGTTGTACTTAAACGACATAGTCCACGCCAGCACACTCATAAAATACAACTTATTTGCAGATGATGGTAATCTCTATGCCAGCAACTCAAACCTCCATTCCTTGATGAGAACTATGAACACTGAATTGACTAAAGTCAGGACCTGGGTAATACGCAATAAACTGACCTTAAACCTTGAGAAAACCCACTACATGATCTTTCACAGAAGGAAAAACTTACCTCTAGACTTGGACCCCCTGTACCTTGGTAATACAGTCCTCAAATGCGAACAAACTACTAAATTCCTCGGAGATATTGTTGACGAGAAACCACATACAAGCCATTCACAGTAAAGTCAATAAACAGTGCGGTATCATGCATCACACTCGACAGTCACTCACTCTCACAGCAATGAAAGAAATCTATCATGATATTGTTTACCAACACCTGATTCACTGTCACACACTATGGGGGGCCTCTGGCTCTTCAAAAACACAATCTCTGGTTACTGCACAAAAGAGAGTTGTACGGACAATGACCTACTTGAAAAAAAAACCAGATCACACACGCGAAAAATTTGCAAAATTGAAAATGTTAAAATTCGAAGATATTAACACCTACTGCTGTGCCCTCTTTGTTTACAAATCTATCAATCACTTGCTCGACAATAATTATTTCTAGTTACGGAATAATCAGAGATACAACTTAAGGCATCCAGAGCTACTAAGACCACCCCCCATGCACTCCTCTCAGTCCCAGACCTCCATAAAATATCACGGTGTGAAGGTGTGGAACAACTTAGCCCCACCCATCCGAGTAAAGACTACGCTCCCTTCCTTTAAATCATCTCTAAAAAAATAAATTTTGTCTAAGTATTATTTATTGTAATACCTACTATATTTACAGTAACTGCTTTTATTGTACCGTCAAAACCGTTTTATCGGAAATTATCATGTAAATAGAAAAGAAAATACCATTGCGATAAACATATTTGCCAACTTGACATAATCCTGACAGCTCTGTCCTCTTGTGATCTGTTAGATATAAACTAGGTTACCCCATATTTATGTGAATATGTTGTATTATGTTTTGTGTTAGTCGTGGAATAAAGCGCCACTTTGAATGCGCATGTTATGTTTTTGTTTTGTTTTTACGGAAGGTCCCGAAAATATACTGGAAAGAGCAACATCGTTTGTGTCATTGTCTGAGCCTCTCGCATCATATTTCGTTGATATCCACCAAAAATGAACACTCTAACTTTAACAGGTTATGGGCACAGGTTGGTGTTTGATGGTGATGAAAGCAAGTATGAGTTGTGGGAAGTGAAGTTCTGAGGCCATTTAAGACTTCAAAAACTTCTCGATGTCGTTAATCAAGATGGAGACGGTGCAGAGGAGACGGAGAAGAATGCTGAAGTGTTTGCAGAACTAGTCCAGTACCTCGACGATAGAAGTCTTTCCCTTATCATCCGAGATGCTAAAGATGACGGTAGGAAATCATTAAAGATTCTCCGTGAACATTATCTAGGCAGCAGCAAGCCAAGAATTATTGCCTTGTATACAGAACTGAAGTCACTCAAGAAATGAAATGAAGAGGCCATTACCGACTACGTGATACGGGCTGAAACGGCAGCAGCTTCATTGAAACTAGCAGGTGAAACCATCAGTGACAGTTTACTTGTAGCAATGTTATTAAAAGGATTACCTTTAGAATATAAGGCATTTTCTACTGTTGTGACACAGAAAGAAACAGCTGTTAGTTTTTCTGAATTTAAAGTAGCATTAAGAAGTTTTGAAGAAACTGAAAAGTGTCAAC